TTATGGCATCAAGAGAAGTAGGACTGAGGTGTCCTGGCCATCTGGGGCAATGGCTTGCTGAACTGATTTGAGGGTCCTTTCAATCCTCAGCCCTTTCAAGGGTGTTCTGACTTACTGGCTAGTGGGTGTGGGTATGTAAAGTTAATCCAAATTTTCTCTTGACAACAAACTTCTTAACAACTTCCACCGTGGTCAGATTTGTTTGAGGAGAGGATGCCATTGTTAACCCAAGATCCTGACACATTTTCTGATTCAAATTGGCACTCAGTGAATGCCTTTCCACATCAATGAACAATTTATAAAAGCTACTTAATGGTGATCTTGGTTTTATATACTGGGTAGTTATTTTGGAATCCCAAGAGAACTCTTATTCTGGCATAGATATCCCATCTAAACAGTCCCTTCAAAGAAGCAATCACCACAAATAGAATGGAATCCTTTATAATGCCTGTTATTGGCAAATTTTATCCTCTCAAAATTCACTTTTCTCATCCACAAAATATTGACACAAAGAGTTTCTATCCTTTCTGGGGTTGCTATGAATGTTGACTAGAATAATGAATATACATTCTTAGCACAATGCTTGGCATGATAGACATGCTCAATAGTTACTAGTTCCCATGAACAAAACAGCATTTCTGGGTACACCCAACCCAAAAGACTTAAAATCAGAATACTACAGTGATGCAGCCACATTAATGTTTATAGCAGCTCAATTCACAATAGCTAAACCATGGAACCAATGTAGACGCCCTTCAACAAGATGAATGGATAAAGAAAATGTGGTACATATACACAATGGAATATTACTCAACCTTAAAAAAGAATGAAATTATGGTATTTGCAGGTAAATGGATGGAGCTGGAGAATATCATGCTAAGCAAAATAAGCCAAATCCAAAAAAACCAAAGGCAAAATGTTTTCTCTGATATGCAGATGCTGATCCATAATGGGGAGGGGGTAGAGAAGAATGAAGGAACTTTGGATTGTGCATAGGGGAATGAGGGGTAAGAAGGGGTGTGGGGATGGGAATGACAGTGGAATGAGATGGACATTATTACCCTGAATACACATATGATTACACTGCCAGTGTGACTCTGCACCACGGTCAGCCAGAGGAAGGAGAATTTGTGCTTCATTTGTGTACAATGTGTCAAAATGCATTCTACTGTCAAGTATAACTACTTAGAACAAATTTTAAAATAAAAAATCAATCAATAAAAATAAACCTGTGTTTCTTAGATATCATTACATATCTTATAAATATCATAACTGAATATAGTTGTGCTTGAGGATATGTTGTTTAGCCTAAATGTAAAATAAAGCAGTGTAACAACAAGTATCTATGTAAGAATCTCAGTCCAGAAGCTCAAGTAAGCATAAAATATCGCTTCATCTTTCTTTCATTCCACTTGACTTCTTTCTGATTTACATTTTACTAGGATAGTGGAAATTTATACTCAGTCAATTTGAGTTCTGCATTTCCCAAGGTTTGTCTTAAGTTCCAGGAGTCCCGAGTGAAGCTAAGGCATTGGGTTGGACGATGGAGGTAATGGTATCTTGTCCTCCAGTTCTCATTCTCCATGTGTGTCCACTGAGACATACTGAGTGTGGCCCCCACAAGTCAGAGCTGAGATTTGATTTTCCTCAAGACCTCATAAAGCCCATCCTTCCTCTATCCTTCCTCTCTGACACAAGTGGGACATGAGCATTTTCCTACAACTTTATTCCTTCTCTGGAGCATGAAAATCTCATCAAAACATAATAGCCTATCCACCCAAACACAACATTTTTTCCAGAGTCTTGCTGCCTGCTAAACTTTATTAAATAAAGTTTCCTATGCTCCTGGACCCCTGGTTTAGGCAGGGGCAGGGCAGGATTTCCGTCAGAATCACCGAGCATAATCTCTTTTCTGACGTTAGGTGTTTGCACTCAAAGAAGTCAGAAGACTCCAGAGATTTTCTCTGCATATTATTGAGGATCTGCTTGTATAGGAGAAGGGGACATACCTATAGAAAGCAAACATAGACTGAAAATCTCAAATATTTTCCTTTCCTCAAGTATTGTTGATAGTCTATTATAATTCAACATTTATGAAAAAAACATTCTGCAGAGAAATATTTTAGTTAGAAACATGTTCTGAGGTTAGTCTTTTAAGAGTACAAACTTATAACTGGCAGAGGGGATAAACACCTTAGGGAATAGTAGTGGATCTCAAAGTCTTACTGTGTAGATCTCAGGGTTCTTGCTGCCATGTCCCTCAGCATTGTTAGAGACTGTTTTGCAATAAACAGAAAATCAGCCTGAAGCAACTGACTGCTAAAGGAAGATTGAGGTGTCTCTGGAAGGTAAGCAACTGCAGCTACAGCCAGCAACTGGAATATGATTAACAGCTCTCCATCTCATCTCTGACTCTCTTCTTCCTTTCTCAGACCATCCATTCTCATTTCTTCCTCCCTGGTAACAGCAAACCTAGCCAAAGCTTGTGAATTTTACATTACTGGTAGATTCATCCATCTGGAGAAAGACTGACTTCCATTTCAGATAGAAGTCCAAATTTCTTAGGAAGGAACTCTGTTGACCCAGATGGGATCTGGTGTCCATTCCTGGACTAATAAATTGTGGTGCCAAAGTCTAAACTACATTTGAACTAACATATCACCTCCCACATTAACCACATGGATAGCATCGGAAGAAAGGATAGTTATAGGAGAAGAAGGAAATGAATTAATTCTAGACACACACAAAAAAATGAAATCCATTCGAAAACCTTCCCTTAAAATCACTCAAGGACTTTCCTCCAATCTTGAGGACATGGAATAAAGATAAATATAGTATAGAAAATCCTCTTCGTAAAGGTTTTAAAAGCCGAGCACAGTGGTGCACGCCTGTAATTCCAGCAGCTCAGGAGGCTGAGGCAGGAGGATCTGAGAGTTCAAAGCCAGCCTCAGCAACTCAGCGGGACTCTGTCTCTAAATGAAATACAAAAAAAAAAAAAAAGGAATGGAGACATGGCTCAGTAGTTAAGTGCCCTTGAGTTCAATCCCTGGTACCAAAAAATAAAAATAAATAAAAAAATAAAAGAAAGTTTTAAGAGTCCTGAATTATTTTTGCTAGTGGATTTTTTAAAAGCTAACATTCCTTCAGATCACAAAGAAGAGAGAAATAGTAAGGACACAGATCCCACTAACTAGAATGAGGGATTGAGCTTTAGAGATTCATTTCTTGGTTTGGTAACAAGTCAGAGAAATTGTTGGCCAGAGTAACTTTGAAGATAAATAATAGCAGAGAAGGATAGAAAATAGCTTTCAGGGGTCCTGCCCCAGTAGAATAATATTCGCTTTATTGTGGTTTCATGAAAAGACTTTGATACATTGCTAACTATGCTCTCTGGGGACAGAAGACAGAAAATGTATGGGAATGAATCACTGCCTGCCCAGGGATAATTCTGCAAGATGGGAACTCAAAACAGAAAACCACGAGGGAAGACAGGCTAAGTCCCTACCCTCCTTCCATCCACCCAGCCCCCCAACTAAATGACCTTAGTAACAGTCACATTCTCAGTGAAATAGAGATGAATTGAGATTTAATTCTTTGGACCTACACAAAAGATTAATAATGGGTATACAAGAAACTGATAATGCTGGTTGCCTGTGGGGAAACTGGATGTCAAGGGCACAATGGGTGAGAGAGACTTTTCACTGTACACCTGTTTAGCATAAAAATGAATCATTAATACATATCTGGAAATAAGAGTGAATGGGAAACAAATTACTGACCAGATCTTCTGTATATAAATTTTATGTAGAAAGGGGGTTATTACAAAAAATTCACCATCTGGATGTAAGGTATAGTGCAATTTAAAACACTAGTTCAAATTTATATTCCCAGAAACACTGTCAAACACTGGGCATATTCACAGTAGGATTTGCCTTTGCCCTTGTAATGAGGACTATGTAGAAAGGAAAAAAATAACCGTTAGTCCGGTCACAATGACATCCTCCCAGGCCCCCAAACTGAAAAGCCTCCCACTTTGTCAGCACTAAAGCCCAGTGAAGCAAGCTAGTAGGTATGTGGCAGTCAGGATTGATCCCTCCACCTCCATCTGAACACAGAGAACCACATTTGCACACCCATGCTTTTGGAAGGCCACCCTCTCTCCAGACACAGAAACATACACTATAGAAGCAAACACTTATCGACAGCTTTTTGTATGCTATACACTCTATACCAGAATATACAGATAAATAAAATGTAAGGCCTTCCCCTAGAAGGTCACATTCTGTCAGGATGTGTAATCAACATTTATTTTGGCATGGCAATTCTAAAGCCTATTTATATGTGCTATTTTCTTGTTTTACATACTTATTTGAAATCAAAAGCCTGGGAAATAACCCAAAACTCAGCAATTTCCTTACCAAAAACAAAAACAAAAAAAAACAGGTCTGTTCCTCAGAACCACTAATTTCAAAAAGAGAGTAACTTTCATAAGCATTATTCATACTTTGGGTATTTTTTTTATGATGCAAAGAAAACTCAGGCTTGTTTCTATTTCAGAAGGACAAAGCTTGTTGTTCTTAACTTTCCCCTGATGTTTCATCTAGGGGATTAGTCCTAATTTTATTTGCTTTTTGTATTTGTCTTTTCAGATGATCTTTCAACTCATGTGAGCTTACTACAGCCTTTCACTTTCCATGGATCAATCAAACATCAATAAATTTATTGATTTATTAACTGCTTTTTTGTGGGGGGGGATGGGATGATGGCTATCTTCAAATACCCAAAGCATTCTTATGGAGAAAGAAACTTATCACAAAACACTCAGAAAGCTATGATCAATAGGAGTAGCTATAAAGAGATAGTTTCCAGCACAGCATAAGAAAGATTTCCTAAGCGTTTGGTCTGCCTACGGTTGACGGTTGACATGGGCTGCTTTGAAAAGTGTCAAGTTCCTCTTTGCCCTCTGAGTCTACACTTAGAAGGGACTGGGTGCCACTTACCAGGAACATGAACGAAGAAGGTTGAGATGAAGACGGTGGCCAGAGCAGAACAAGCCACATCATTTATGAGTCCTTTGTCCAGAAATGACTTAGAATGTCAACATGATGACAGCAGAGCATTACACGAAGTGTGAGGCCCCTCCGAGCACAGAGTGTTACACAGTCACACAGGAAACACTTCCTGAACCTAGCTCTGAGTCAAAGTATTGGCTGTGAACTCAGGGTGATCCCTTCCAAAACTATGAGAATATGAAATTTATACACTGGATCATAGAAATTCTTTAGAATAAGAGAGGGAGTGATGGGTCCAGGGGTTTTAAATCTGAAGAGACTATATGGCTTCCTTATCTTGAGCCTCTTCTGTCGTTTGGAAAATGTTTTGTACCTGTGCATTTTCTCAGGGAAACTTTCTATGAAAGAAGTTTAATCTCTTCCCCCCAAAAGTCAAGAACCTCTAATCCAACACTCTCATTTTGCCCAGGAAGAGACTGAAGTTTTAGAGGGGACAAAATGACTCTAACAAAGCTGGAGAGCTAGGGCCTTTATATTGTTTTGAATTTTTAATCTAACAGGGTTTTTATAAAATGACTATAATTTAGTTGGCTAATTCAATTGCCATTGTCACAGCAGTAAATTTCGGTCAGCTTTGTCCTTATCCATTTTACCATTCTTTTATAATATTCTTCAGTATCTGGTTCACATTCTATGGGAGTATACATAAACATTTTGTAACTTTGTGACTTTAACATATGGTGTCATCTTCCAAAATATTTACACTGACTTCTTAAAAAAAAAATAGAAACATTAATAGAGTAAAACTTGGGTCAGGAATTTTGAACCAGAAGAAGAGACTGACATCCCTTTCATCATCTCTTACTGTTCAGCCATGACCACAAAAATATGTAGCTATTATGAAAATACCAACATATGTACAAGTAACAACAGATTTATGAAATCAATGTTATTTTTACATGTGCTTTATCAAACTTCTTGGGTTTTAGGTTTTTGTTTGTTTGTTTTGGCTCTTGAAGTTGAACATAATAAAACTTCGATAATTACTCTCCTCACTCAACTTTCTCTTTGATCTCTCTCTTGCCCAGAAAATTATTTCCTGTTCACACTGATCTCCTTAGGATCCCTTAGTCTATTCAGTTCTCTACTATATTTCTGTGGTTTAGTCTTTTGCTAGATTTCTCATTTTATCTATTATAAATACCCCGTAACATGTATCGCAGTGTGTATGTTCTTCACATAGAATGATGCTTTAGCAAGTTCTGATATAACTTTTGCCTGAGACTTTGAGCCTGTTTGATGTTATCTGGGATGTTTTCTCAGGTAAGATGATGTCTGAGTTATAATCAAAATTCTGTTTAAATTAAGTTCATCAGTTTCACAATGTAAACTGTTTTCAAACCGGTCGGTAAACGTGCTTTGTTGTCACACCTTCTATATGTTACATCTCTTCATCAAATAAAAATATCAAGTTCTTCTTGTTCTTCCTCTCCCAGAGGATATAATTGATTTGATGTCCTATCAGGTATAAGTACACTGGAGATGGACAGCGACTCCTGTCCACTTGCATCCAAGGATCTGAGCCCAAGTCTATGAAAACTGGTAGACAAACATATAAGCATTGCTTGAAGACTATTCATCTCAGTGCTTTTCTTTGGATTCAGTGGACTTTCAGTTCTTAGAGAATGGAGCAGATTCTCTGTGAGTCAAAGGCTTAGTCTTACATGAACTCAGAGGAAAAAAAATTTGTTTTTCACTCAAAAGTTAAGTTCCATTGCAGTGTATGGAATTACTATTGATCATAATAATATCATGCATCTTGGCTCAACCCTGGGTGAATTTCACAACTTGCCCCCCAAAACCCTTCACCCACTGCTTGCTAAACTGAAGGTCCATGTATCACCTGGCAGGTATTGCCATACACATATGTATCTGTTTGTAACCCAGGAAGTGGAAGCTTCTGGAGTAGAGGATTTCAATCAGTGGAGGAATAAGATCACAGCAGGAAATATGTGTATATATATATATATATATATATATATGCACACACATATATATATACACATACACACACACATATATATACATATATATGTGTGTATATATATATATATATATACACACACACACACACACACATACACACACACACACACAAACATATACACACACTTCACCCTCTATACCACTCAACTCCCAGGGTATCAGGATGGAGATAGAAGCAGTGGGAAGATCAGCCATATTTATTTTGGAAAATTCTCTAGGTCAATGTGATAAGCATTGTTCTGAAATCACAGGAAGAAGAAACAGGGTACTATAAGCTAACAGGAGCCTTACCTCGAACCTTGGGGGAAGAAAAGAAGGAGGGAAAGGGGACCAGGCTTAAAATCAATACTTTCTTTAATTTGGATCATATGGAAAACAAGGAGCAAAATGAGCTATTCAGCCTACCAACCAAATGAGCAGAAATAATTACAGCACTAGAGGTGTAGAACAAAATATTGGGAAAAAAAGTAAACACATAACAAAGACAATTGATGACATGAAAAATAAGGGGGAAAAGGTAGAGATAAAAGAGAAAGTAAAGAGCTTGTTCTAGGAAGTCAGAGTCAGATGTGGGAACTTACATAAGAGGCTGATGACTCTAATACGCAATTACTGACACAGGATCAGGGAGGGACAGGGGTGGGGGGATGCCTTCTAGTTCATTTCTGAGGAAGTGAACAGAGATTTGAGGTGAAGCAGAAAGAACTGAGTAGCAAGTTCAAGGAACTTTATAAGAAGAGAAAAGAAAAAACAGAAATCAAAAGAAAAGAACATGAGAAGACAAGAAGGACTTGGAAGGTTGGGCTGTGGCTATGGAAAGGTCAGCATTTTACTTCCTTGGTCTGTGAATCTCAAGACTGAATGTTTTCTCAGTAAGTCCAAAAAAAGCAGTTTTCCTCCGGTGTTGCAGGTAGGGTGACAATGTGTGATGGTGGGGGCTGTCCCCTGCCTGCACAAGTACTCCAGGATAGGGTGAGTGGGGATAGATTTGGCCTGCTCTGTTTGCCAAGATGGAGGAGAGGAACATTTAGTAACTTTCACCACAGTCCTAAGTGCATGGAGAGTGAGTGTGGGGATTTATTTCTGTTTATTCACTTAAGCCCAAGGTAGTATGTTGGAGGAGCCACTTGTACCTAAAAAAACAAACACCTGAATGATACTTAGCGCAACAAAACAAGCACATTGTGAGTAGTGTGCTCAGGACTGAGACTGGCTGAGGGAGGAGGAGATGCGTATCTCTCATCTCATGTCACTTCATGGCCCACAATCATTACTGGGTGGAATTTAAGGTATTGTCACATTCTCTTTCTCTTTATACCAGGGAAGTGACACATTCTTTCAGAAGGCATACATGAAGAGAGACTAATGAAGGACTCTTTCAAAAATGTCATCAGGATTAAAGGAAACCAGCTAGGTATGGCAATTCACCCCTTGGTTAGCGACCCCTGGGCCAGAGGGGACAACAGAGGCAGGAGTTGAGAACTTCCAGAGAGAGCTGTAGCTGAAAGCCCTAGCTTCAGGAGAGGTAACCTTATATACGGAAGAAACAAAATCATAGCCGAGTGTATCTTCTTGTATATAGTGCCATGACCACAAATCTGTGTCACTCAAAGAATATTCTGGAGTTCTGGTCAAATGATTTTTTTTTCTTCTTCTCCACTAATTATTGAAAATAATTATACATTTTAGATTGCAGATTTGAATTTCTTGTGATAGCTTTTTGTTTTACCTATTATTTCTGATTGCCCTAATTTTTATCTTATTAGAAGAAATACCTCCCTTCCTTCCCAGTGTTATCAATGGATTCCATCTTACTCAAGCTAGCTATTACATGGAATTCATTACATTTTTCTTCTTAAAGAATACTGACCTTCTGTTTCAATTTGAATTTATTGCTCTCCAGGCCTGCTGAACAAATGTCATTCTAAGACCTCTTTTGTAAAAAATGATTGTAAAAATTGTAAGTAATTATATTACTGATTTAGTTCATCTTTTTTTTAATCCCATATTGTGTGTGTGTGTGTATGTGTGTGTGCGTGCGCACGCGCGTGTTTTCACCCTTGGTTAGCTGAATGATATAGTTAAATAACATGCAAAAAGATATAAGAGTGACATTAAGTGTTAAAATTTTCTACTTCTTTTCTTACTGGCTGATAAAAGGTGGGAAGCCAGAATGATGTAATCTATTCTGAAAACTATGTCTTCAATCACCTTGATGTGAAATAAACCCTTGACTGTAAAGAGTATTATTCCCACCACTGATATGGTGTTGGTTTTCACCATTTGAACCTATGCAAAAACCACTGTTTGCAAGATGACAGAGAAGTACTGGTAGTACCAGAGGAGCCAGGAGCAGTGATGGAAAGGGAGGACTGCCTGTACCTCAGCTTCCCCACTTATCTGCAATCTGAACCCAACTGCAGCCAAAACACAGAATCCCACAAAGAGAGCTAGGGGAGATATAAAACGGTGTGGGCAAGTAGTCCTTGACTTGAAGGACTGCATCCCATAAAAAGCGCATGCCACAAATGTATTTTAAAAAGACAAAGGCCAGGTGCATAATGTTAGTATAATTATGTCAAGAGCAAATGACCTAAATGGTCCCACTCCATTTCATTTTCATTCACTGGGCCAAAAACAATAAACAAAAAAACAGTTGCCCAAGTACATCACCTGAACAAGGTTGCGGAAGATAAAACTTTACTGAGCACAGAAAGGATGTTGAGATGTGAGAAGTCAAGGGCTTTTCAAAGAGGAATGGGGAGTGGGAGATAGATGCTTGACCAGGACTCTGCCAAAGCATTCAAAAGAGCAGTTGATAAATATTTAGTTAATTCCTCCCCTAGGCCTAATGTTGCACTAGGAGCTTTGTGACACATATTAAGTAAAAGGGGCTCCTTGATCACTGCTAGACAGCTTCCCTTTCAGGATGCTTACACTCAGCCAGCAGAGGGCTGCTTGAGAAAATTGTGAAGCAAGGATATCAATGCTCCTACAAATTTAGGATAACTGACTTTCCCTGGGCCTTCAGCATAGTCCCACGTCCAATGTTCCTCTGGTCACCTTCCTCCCCTGTGCTCCACAACAACTACTTC